TGTTTTGGGTGTACTATTCCTTTAAGCTGCTGACTGCCACTACCTCGACACCAGAGTGTTTGCCAGTTTTGGGAAGTCATCCTGCAAACTGGAGTTTCGGACCTTCTCTCCCTGGAAGTATCTACTGTGCTTCAAACTGAGCTGAGAAAACAAACCAGAGGTTTGGATCCACTTTCCCCCGAAGAGTCGTTTGAGTTTCACACTGAGCAAGGGATTCATCTGCACCACAGTCCGTTCAAGTACCGCAGGAAATCTGAGTGGCAGTCAGTTTTTCTCTGTTCATCTACAAGCAACCACATTCTGGGTAAACGAATGAGACAAACACCGGAACACATCCTTCACCTACTGGAGACTAAGAGTCAACCAATTCTCTGGAAACTTGAGTCTGCCTACTTTTCCTCCTCTTCAAGTTCGGGAATCAATTTCTCCACTGAACCTGAACTAACCGCAGTGTCTTCCCCTCACCTTTCAGTTCCGGTTGAGCAGTGTTCAGAGCAACACTGGAACCTCCACCCAACTTCTCAATAAACCTGTTAAACTTTTCCCTGATCTCTCTGTTTGGTCTTCTGCATTTTGGGTCATATCTTTAGTTAAATCATGACAAGGTCAGAAATTAATGTCAATATGTAATAACAAGAAACGCCAACTTGCCTGAATATATTAAGAAAAATAACAAAGGTGCTTCTAGAAGAAATTCATGACAAACACGTTATTTTGCTCCATCATAACCTTAGAGGCATTAATGCTGATATTTCCAATGACATTTTTTTAGTTTATAAACCTAAATATAATTCTGAACTAGGCTTTTTAACTTTTCATTTAGCCTTTTCATCATTCTGCTTCCTTCCATCTCTATTTTTCTAGTCTTTCCTTATTTTTATATTGAAGGGAAACACATTCAAGGACATTCCAACTTCTTTCTGTTATGCTTTTTTGGTACTATATACACTCTTTTTATATTGTCTGTCATATATTTGTCTTTAATGGCATCTTGCTTTAACTCTTTGTACTCTATAAAAGCTAATGGAATAGAAATAAACTAAATTGAATTGAAATAAGCATTTTGATTAAAAAAGAACTGCGTTGTTCTGAGAGACAGATCATAACCTATAATCTCATGTGCTTTGAATTTTGAAATGAAGTCGTATTTTTTAAAGATGATGATGCAGATTGGTATTTTCACTTTGCATTGATTGGGTCATTCTTCAGTGAATCAATGTGAATGGATGTATTATTACACCACTATTGTTGACCTCTCACACACGCCACGATTCATTTTATATGTTTATATCTATTCATCAATAAGATGAAAAAACGCTGATGCATCAATTGCTGTAACACATAAGTGTTTGTTTAATTCCTGGACAGCTTTGAACCTTGCATCTATTTGTATTTAGGCTGTATTTCATTCTGCAGAAAACAGTTCTGGTTTAGATTACCAATTAAATCAATTAATCAACCCCAACTCCTCTAAAATGTTCGCAGAGTGTTAAAGGCAGAAAACTATTCTGTGAGATACTGAAAGAGCTGAATACATTGCTAGGGGCAAACCCAGACCAGTTAAACTGGTTTCTAAATCATGACTAGTAGTTTAGTCCAGTTCTCGTCGCCCAGCTTACTGGTCAATCCTTCATTATGTGACATTATTTTGGCTAAAAGCCGAAACATTACTGTCAGTAAGAGACCTTATCATGCAGGGTTACAGGCCTACCTCTGAGTAACATCATTCTGAAAACTTCCACATAGAGCTTCATTTGAAATATGTTATATTTAAATCATTTGATGTCTAGAACATCATGTTTCCTCCGATTACAGCAGGACACGTCTTGAACGGCTGAGGTGGAACCTTAACTGGGTTAAGTGCATTGCCAAAGGCCACAACAGCCGTTTGTCCTACTTCAGGAGGACATGCATGAAAGAAAAGCTTCCATGGTCACAGGCTTAAAGCTCACCCAGCAGAACCCAACAGAACCCAGCAGAACCCAGCAGAACCCAGCAGA